ACTTCCTAATCGTGTCAAGGCATTTCCCCTCAAGTAAAGAGAAGAAATGCTTCCTGCCAGTATTTAGTTAATTTCTTACTTTGTTCAGCATCATTTTCTTTGACAAATCACCGAGCTGCCGCAGACCATCTGGACGTCTCCGGGCCTCTTAAGGTTGAGCTGATGTTATTTTCCACAGCGTCGTTTGATGGAGTGAGCAGGGAGGGGTTCGATGCGTTCACTACAAAAACAGCAGGACTGGAAGCAACCGATGGATGAACATTATGGTGCAGGAATCAAACCATGGGACTATTTTGTTGGAGGATAGCTCTTCCTGGTTAGGAATCTGTGCTCTTTAACTTAGCACTCACCTTTCCTCATGATTTCATTTGCACTCCTTTGCTGCTGACACATGCAGAAAAATGCTGCACAAATGGATGGAGCTCCTTGCAAAACCTTAAGCCCTTGTTCAAAGCTACACCAGAGCCCAGTAGAGCACGATAAAGGCACATTACGTGGCTTATCCAGTAGAAATCTAATCTTACCCCCTCGCTGTCTGGGATGTTTGAAATGTAATCGACTGTGCAGGTATGACAGAGTCACAAGGTGTCTGTGTGATATGAGAAACTGTGGGGGAAAACCAAAAAGTTATTTACAGGTTTTCTTCCTGAAAGTGCATTTTATAAGAAGATATTATGAAAAGTAAAGCGATTTCTTGTTTTTCCTGAGGGTGTATGCATGGCTTTTGTGAGTGCTATATGTTTGCAAATGTGTGTGCACTTCTCTGGCGATAATTCGAGCAAGTGTGTGTACTTCAGTGCGAGAGAAAGAGAGGAGATTGAGTTTAGAGGGATTGAGAGACTATGCGGGCCTTGTGGATATTAGAGCTCTCCATCTCTGTCCTCTGGCCAGTCTGCTTGTGTGTGTGTGTAGTTGTGCGGGTGTTTGAATTGGTGTGTGTGTGTGTGTGTGTGTAGCTCGGGGTCACTGCAGGTATAAAGAGAGAAAAGTCAGATTCTACTCTCTGAAAATCCTCACAAAGCCATGAGAAAAGAACACAGGCAGCGGTGTAACTGTGCAGGTGTGTGTTTGCGTGGGGGTGTGTGCGTAGGCGGGCAGGTGAATGTTTACCTGGGCCTGCTGTGTGTGTCAGAGGGAGCATCAAGGAAAAAAAATAAGATATATTTTAGTATATGGAAGCCCAGCGATACCAATCTTGACGTGCAATCAAAAAAAATGCAATTTCTAATTTGCTAGTGAGCATGTGCAAGCTTCTTCTTCTGACAAGCTGAAATTCTCCTTTACCAAGGTTATCATCTGATTGGTGCATTTCAACATATGATGTGTGATCAGTGAAAAACAATACCCTAAACTTGAGAATCTTTAAACATTGTTTGCGAATATTCGGTCAAATTCCGCTCCAGCTACCATCCAGTGTCTCTCCTCCTGCAACCTGTTACTCCCTTTCAGAAGTGAGTTTGTGCTCCTCTCTGCCCTCAACAGTTTGCCTCAGGCTGTTGTGCCCAACCTTTACCTCCATTTTCATTTTCTTACTCCACTGCCTCCTCAACCGCTGTCTCTGGCCGATTACTACAATGTGTAGAAGTTTTCTTTTGCCTCATGGGCTTTTGTCTTTGTCTCATTTTCTTCTCTCGCCTCCTACTCTTCACCATGTTAATCCTCAGCTACAGCCTGGACGGAGTGTTGCAGCGGCCGGCTGCAGATACGTCTCTTTGGGAAACTAGGAAGTGGTTGAGGCTTACATTGCCGTTTGTGGTCAATTTAACATCATGGCTCTAACAAGTCCAGTGCTAGGAGGAGAAGACTGACCACTGTTAGCCCTGTGGAGACTCTCTATGATATCAGAAATAAGTCAGCATGGGTGAATCTTTTATTCTTTTGCTCTGGATTTTAGATAGAAAACCTGCTTCTTTCAACTCTAGATCTAAGGAAACATAAATTGCCTGTTATCGTAATCATGTGCATGCCGGGAACAACAGGGGAGCTATGTTCATGATGAGAGATGAGTGTGATTTATGCTTCTTATCTGTAACCACATTATGGATCAACGTAATGGACACATTCTTCAGTTAATTGCACATTACAGGGTGCCAGGGGCATTATGCACGTTGTTAGAATGTAAATATACCATCTTAAGTTATATGTTGGAGTAATGATGTCAAATTAACACTGGCATCATGAAGTGAACAAAGCAGCAGATTAATACAGGAACATTTCTTCACATTTCAAACAGACACACACACACACACACACACACACACACACACACACACACACACACACACACACACACACACACACACACACACACACACACACACACACACACACACACACACACACACACACACACACACACACACACACACACACACACACACACACACACACACACACACACACACAAAAATGAATACAACTAAAAGTCATTTTCTGTGTTGGAGGATTTCTGTTTGTGGTTTCTCTTCCAATGGTATTAACCAAGAGAGGCAAAATTACACAAAGGACACTGATTGGTCCTTATACGAAAGTAGAAATCCAATAATTTTTTCTATCCAGCAAGTCCAATTAGGATACGCAACCAATCAGTGTAAAAGAAAAAACTTCTAATCTGAGAATTTTCTTTATCATATATGCAGAGCATGAAATAAATGTCTTCGTACTATAGATTTATTGTATTTCCTTGTCCACTAACAATGCTAAATTTGGTTTAGTGCATGCTGCTTTAAACTATTCAGTAACAATATTGCAAGGGACAATCGCATATGAGGGTTGTAGTTAAAGAATTAGTGAGTGAATACTAATAGAGCCAGCTAAATATTTAGCTTGGGAACAACTCTTGATGCTAATGTCAGCTTAATTCATGAGCTAGCAACAGCTAAATAAAAATCTGCTAGCAACTGATTTGGGGGAAAAAATGAACAGTCATCAGCATAGAGTATGATGTTGCTTTTGTCTGCACTGGCTTAACTTTAAAATACATAATGTCCTCAGATTTTTAACCTTTACCTTAAACTACCATAGTTTGATTACTTTTCAGCTGCATATCTTTGTACTGGCTTGGCCAAGTGTTGACATCTGAGTTAAGAAAAAATGAATGGACAATGATTCAGTTTGGGAACAACTCTTGAGGCTAATGTTAGCTTAATTAACAAACTAACAACAACTATAGAAAAATGTGCCAGCGGCAGTTTAAGCAGATAGAATCAACAGTCGTCTGCATAACGCAAGAGGCTTCTTTTGAGTGGCTCTGGGTGTTATGTGTGGTGTTATTAGAAAATGCATTAGGTGTACTAATATATTATATACAGAGGAACAAAAGTTCTACAAACACACTGGTCTAACCAACACTAGGCCATTATGTGAATGAATAATCACGCATCAAACAGTCGCCTCCTTCCTCTTAGGCGCCTGGGAGTGTGGCTAAAACAACCAGTCAAGGTGACTCACTGCAATTAAACAGCGGGCGATGAGCTGTCAACGGCGAGCTGTGTCACAGGTGTACAGGGCAGCTGTAAGTATAATTGCTACAGACCTCCGGGAAGCAGCTGAACCACCATCTCCTGACGGCGACAGCAGCAGGCTTCACTAAAAGGACGGCTATGGTGGAGACTTGTAACACGCTGACAAATGGTTATACAGCAGTTGCCAAATTAACACTGACCTCCCCCCCCTTTTGCTGTCTGGTGAGGGTGATAATGTGCAAAGTCCTGTCGGGAAGTGTGCTTAATGTTGAAGATAATCTGTCTATTATGCGGATTCGACATTAGTAGGGGAGCGAGCGAGTATCAATTAAATTTTCTTTTCCGTAGCAAATGGGAAGCATAATTTTTTTGACAGCAATTCAAGCAGGCAGATTTAATATAGATTCTGAATAAGTAGCTATATGAGAATATAACTGGAAGTAGTTCAAATATGGCTCCTTTGCAGCAGAAGCCCCCACTTTATATTACTATGGTGGAACTAGATGTGCTTACTAATTGAGTCTAGGCGCTCGAAGGAAACTAATAGACAGAGAAGAGAGGGAAAAAAGGAAGGAGAGAGAGGAGGGGGATTTCTCTTCATAAACAGTGTTTACTTAAAGCACCCCATCGCCTTATTAGTATTAATAGCAGTGACTTCAGAAAGCTCATATTCTGCCATTGGACAGTTGTATTATTTATGATTGAAATGAAAGCCTGGGAATGCAGCAGCGAATGGAAGGGAGCGCTGCATAGGAAACGATGTTGCCTATGCCAGTTTACATAACCAACAACTTGGGTAAACAGCAGATTAAGCGCAGCGCGGGGTGAGAGAAAAATGAGAGCAAAATGTTATATCCACACATTAGCCCGTTCTGAGGCGAGAGCTTCTTTTTTTTTGGGAGAACACTGCGGACCTTTTGATGCAGCTGGTCTTCATCTGCAAGTCCTTTTGAGCATCAAAGTGTGGTGCGATGCAGAATCTTGCCTCCGGTGCAACTTCTGCAATGTTGACGTAAAGAAGTCAGGTCAAAGCAAGGGTGTTTGTAACTTCAAGATCGTCCTTGTCTTAATTTAAAGACACCATCTGGTAATCTTGATTATTAAAGCTGTTAGTATGAGCATTAGAGCAACAGAACAGGACTTTCATTTTCTGCTCTATTTACGGGCAGCGGGGTTGCGTGTCAAGCATGTGGATCGGGACTCCAAAGCTTCCCTGCTGCGGCGCCTTTTAGCACAACATGAATCCCCACTGGGGTTACGCGGCAGAAGCTCATCGTATAGACGCACCACTAGATAACCAGTGTATTTAGATGGTTGTTTTTCCAAATTTAGTGTACAATCCTTACGAAGCAGACTTATTTTCAGAATATTTTCTTCTAAAAGATGTTTACAAGTCTGTTCAAGAACATCGGAAACTTTCCTCTTGCAAACACATTTTCCTGAGCTATTTATCACACAATTCAAATGTTAGATGTTTTTAAAGCTTGAAAACACACCAAACATGTCACAAGAAATCACAGGAAAATCACCGAAGCATATAGTGAATCAATCTTTATTTATATTAAATTAAAAATATACTTTTGACAGATTCATGTAACAAACATGAGGAACGGTATTTCTATGATATAAAGCTTTGGGCATGGTTTTAAATAACTCAAGACACAAGAGGGGTTAAAGTATGGGAAGCTAATGGAAGTCAAGAAGGAGTTACTTGATGATACCTTCTCAATCCGTTTTGTCTCCTCTAAATGCATGCAAAAATAAATTGGAAATGACTGGAAAAAGAGAGGTTGTATTGTGAAGGCTGTGCTCTGCCTTTCAGGGAAGAGGAGGGGGTCGAACTTGGCTCAGTAAGATTTCCAGTAGAAAGTTAGCAGAGAAGAAAATCCCAGTTTACCCGGGTCAGTTGGCAGCACTGGTATCAGTTTTATTGGGAAATGGAAAAGAAGTTCTTGGGTGTTCCCATTAATGAGTGACGAATAAAACAAGGGGAAGCGAAACTGGACATATGAGGTGATTTGAACAACATCCTTCCCCAACAAGCCACCATTGGCCATTGGCCAACAGTGTTCACCTAAACTGAAACATTACATAAGGACAGCCACAAATCTCCAGAAAGAAGGGCCACTGAACAGAGTTTCTACATGAGAAAAGGGTTGAACAAGCACTTTTAAAATCAAAGTCCCATTAGTCAAAAAGGTACACTTACATAAAGCAAATATGTACGCCTCTTTCTGTACAAGTCGTTATAAGCAGGAGAAAACAGCAGTAGGAGAGAAGACCATATAAATTCAAAGCATTGCCTCCCTATTTACAAATTCACCACGTCGGCCGACTCAGTGCTTTTATAAAAATACTATTCACATTTGCTGTTGAAGTGTGTTAGATAAGTTTTCAAGGGAAACCCCACAGATTCTGTACAGTTATACTGATTCGATAATTTAAAACACAAGAAATTAATGACCCCCCCCATTTGTATAAGCGATGATTTGTGCAATTTAGCTAAACGACAAAAAATCGCAGCGACATGTTAAATATTTGAAGAAACAAACACAATAGTGGCAAAACTCCTACAGATTCAAGTCTTTCTTCCTTGAAGGAAAACATCCTTGATAATGTGGAGAAAAGAAACACAAAACTCAATATAAGGTACTACACAAAAAAAGAACATTTCAGAAATAAGAGTTCCCAGTTTGTGCTACTAAATTCAGTAAAAAAAATCTGCTTATTACCTCCCACGCTGCCCACTTTCCTGGACAGATATTTGAATATATTATCTCCAATGAAGAGAAACAAAGATGGAGGGCAGTAAAACACTCACTTTGGGTACCATGCAAGGTGAAATTTAACTATACATTAGACTATCGCAGTCTATATGGTGAGTTACTGCTGAGGATGAAATATTGAAGGATTCACTTCAGTACAACATGGCTACATGCCTCTGCACCTTGGCTTGGACCAAATAATAAAAAAAGTTAAGTCTCTTACCCAAATTGTCATGATTGTGTTGTTGAACTGCCATTGATGATATTCATATGGCAGCAATTTCCCTCAGCCATGATGAGATGGGAAGCTTAAAAACGTTGATGTCATACTGCGGTGTTCAAGGTTGTAAGGTGTATAAATGATGGAATTCTTAAAAGTTTATAAAATCTCAATGCCTATGAATTGATCAGCAACTGAAAGTAAGTGAAATATTGAAAAACCAAATGTATATCAGGTCATGTTTCAAGTTAAAACCACATATTTAGCCATACCGTTAGAAAACAACCAATTGTAGCATTCTGTGACTTACTATCTAGAAACTGGCTGAATGCAACCATTGCTGTTTAAAAGGGTTGTACAGTATGATGGAGAAGGGGTAGACAAAACAACAAATTCAATAAACCATTAACTGTTACCATCGATAGCTCATGTTAGCATTCCCCACGTTCTTGTCAATATTACCCTTAGCAAGGTGCTAGTGTACCAAACACTGCTAACCAAAATTAATGTTAGCATTCAGCCACTTCCTAGCCAGCGGTTGTATTAGCTGGAAAGCGGCTGAATTCTAACTTAAGCTATTTCCTGATGCTAGCTTATAGGTTATCAAGTTCATTGCTACTGTTTTAGCTCGGAGTTTTCACTAAATATTGTGTTTCTTAGTTGCTTCTCAATTATGGCCAGAGTCCTTGAAATCATCGAACTTACAACCTTAAGACAGCGCCACAAAATTAGCAAGAGCATTTAAGCATGATGTACGTAAGAAGACAATGGCTGTTGTGAAAATGATGAATGAGCTGCTTATAGGTGTTCAGGGCTGAGACAAATAGCTATGATTGAAACAAGAAGTCAGAGAGGAGAAATCATTGCTTCTGCACAAAATAAAACAATTTGTAGCAACCAGGCTCTTAGGTGATGAAAACAAGACATGATTATTGGTAATTCATCCTCATCAGTGTTGCAGCTTTAATTATCCTTTATTCAAACATACAATTGTCCCTTGTTTGCAGTCTAATTTAGTCCAAACATGAGGTAAACTGAGGCATGTGTTCCTTTTCCCATCATCTGACTTTTTTGTCTCAAAACCCAGATTTGGCAGCGGCTTCCATCACTCTGTATAAACAAGCTCAAACACACCATAAATATTTCACATTGATATTAAATGCTGTCTCTATTTCATTGAATTAGAGCTCCAAACGGGACTACAAAATACTCCTTCATCAAATAATCATGATATCAGCAGTGTTATAAATACTGTCCAAAGCAAACACAAAACCTGGGAAACAAGGACATTCTTCAAGCTGGTCAGTACCGCTAAAATTGGTTGTACTTGTGAACTCCTTGCGGCAGTACCTTCCTTTGATAACTGGAAAAAAAGACTTCTGCTTTCTGAAGTGGTAAACGAACAGATAAACAAGTTCAATGTTTCAGTAAGGAGGGTGGAAATATTTTACTTTCTACCCACGAGTTTGATCAAAGTGCTCCATGGGGAGGACGAACATGTGCAGCTTTGCATGCACTCACACGAACGCTTTCACACACACAGACGTGAAGATACACAAAATAAACATCCTATACAAGATAACAGCATGGGCGAGGCTTTGCTCATGCCGCAGCATGGTGAAAAAACAATGACGAATTAATAATGTTAATGGGTTACTAATAATAATAATAAGGGAAAACTCACAAGAGTTTCAGGAACTACATGGGTTTATCCATATTGGTTTAAGTAAGAGGTTATTGTCAGGAAATATTGCAAAAGGACCTCTGAGGCAAACCGTCATTCTATTTTTATATTTTTTTGCATTGTCAGTTTGGCAACCAACTTGGTGTTTTTACCACACACAGTTGTTATAACTTGGTATGGCTTGGTGGAAAAAATAATGGCTGTAACACCAGCGCTTTTTAGCAGCATTTACTGGCTAATTGCCTACAGAGGCATCAGTAGTTGACTATATTTACATGTGACTAAAGGGGTCTCTATTGGGAATCTCAAGGGTAACTCAGCTGGGATACTTTTAATGATGACAGTCCTGGCCGAGAAGATTCGGGTCTTCATTAAACCAATATTATGATCTTTCTAGCATTTTAACCTTACCTCCTATAAGTGCCTCAATATTACCTCAAAGAGTTTAAAAATATTGGACATGGCAGATATTGGATCCTAAAATTGGATATTTCCATGGAAAACCAATTTCTTAGCGATTAGGTCCTTTAAAAGGTCAAGTTATCGGAAACCGCAACCAACAAGGGCACTTTAAGTTCATCTTTAGGTTAAAAGTCTGTTACATAAGAACACAGATCGGGTTTTTTTGGGTAATTATTGATGTCGCTCCGACAATGTCAAGGAGCAGAGCTTGGTTATGTTGGACCAAGCCAATGAAATCAACCCTAAACCTGTCCATATTTGCTGCCTTTAAGGGCATTGGGTCCAGAGGAAAAAGTGGCTAAAGATATAAGAAGGATGTAAATGCTACCAGACAAGCTGTATAACTTAATTTAAGTAGAAAAAATTGGCAAAATGTTGATGATTCACATCTATGACTTCCTGTGAATCAAAAGATCCTTCATGAGGTCTTTATCTAATTTGACAAAGAACAACTCAAGCACCTAAAAATCACCCAGAGATCTGATGCTGTTTGGGGCTATTGGGCCACTCAATGAGCTATTGATCATCTTTAAAAGTACCTGACTGCAGTTATATAGCAGAAGCCTTGTTTGAGGTCCTCCCACTGGCGAGTATACTGCTGGTTTATAATGATACTGCTGTCGAACATGTCATCACATACATCTACCGCTTCTAGTTACCATGGGTATCCTTTTGGATTCCATTCAGACTTACACCAACATACACACACATACAAAGTAGTCTTTTTTTTTTTACTGTGCTCTGCTGGTGCTGTCTCGCTCATTCCTTGAGGTCTTCATTAAGCAGCTTGTATGAACATTCAATCCTCTCTCAGTAGATGTTTTCACTCTTTTCCTTCTTCTATCACTTTCTTTATGATGATCAACATTTTTAGTTTGGCTGCTTTATGGATGGCGTTATCAAACTATTTAGCAGATACAGCAATTTCTCTAACTAGCCTTGCACACTCTTTACTAATGTAAGTTTGCCTCGTGCTTCGAAGGGAAAGCCAGTGTATAAAAATCCATCTTTTCAGCAATGCAACCAGTGTTAATAGAAAATGTTTACAGTGTGTTATTCCCTTGTAACCTTTGGGTTGGAAAGACCTGTTTTTTTGACCAGCTTTCCCAAAAAAGACAGCAGTCAAGCAAGAAAAACTAAACAGCAGTCGCCCTGTAGGTTTCAGGCAAGTTTAAAAAGTCCATGGTTAAACTACAAATGTGATAGGAGGGGTCATTGTAGTTTTGGCCATCACAGTATCACAGTTAAAGTAGTGAGATGAGATGAATTTCACATATTTGAAGGAAAATCCAAGAATGTACTGTATATCCCATATACAAAAAGATTGAGTATGATTGATCAGCTTTCAGTGCTCCGTCTTTTATGTTACTGGAAGTCACTCTCCTGACTGAACCTTTCAGTCTTTTTTGTCTCCATATTTTGCCATTTTGCCTCTTTCTACAAGGTCATTCACAAAACAAGACATCTTGACATCCAACAGACGTTACTTGCTCCGTCTGTTTGCTTATTTCAGAAACTCTTTGAAGAGAGTTGTTCATCCTCAGACCTTGATACTGGAAAAGAAGTAATACAAAAAAAAAAAAACATCTGGTTCCTCTCATGAATCTGACACCGCAGTGGCTGGCAGTGAGTTCAGGTCCCCAAAGTTGAATCCATCTCATCCGAAGCCGGTTGTAGTCTCCCTTGTCGGGACAACACTCCTTGGATGTGTGACTATTATATGTCTGTTAGCCAAAATCCACCATAACCTTCATATACTTAGTATCATGGAGCACAGTCTCTATCTACAGAATAGAAAATGGACTGGATTGGGTACAGTGAAGGTTGGAGAGTCTGAGTTGGGTCTGCTTGGTTCGGTTCAGTCCACCTCCTTCTGATGTTGCTACACTCTACAGCAGATGGTGTGTAATTTGGAAAGAGTTTGGGGGCGGCTCTGGTTGTGGCCTCTCCCCTTTGTGTGGAACAGTGGAACCGGAGAGTATTTCAGGATTGCTGGAGGCTAGAGTCAGATAGAGGAAAGTCTTTCAAGTGGAACGATCTAGACCACAGTGTTCCGCTGCCGGTAGGGTGGAGGCGGCAAGACAGTACCAGATTTCAGGGAAAACTCAGACATATATTCAGGGTTTTCAGCTACAGAGGGCCGTATATGTCCGTTCTGCTTATAGAAGAGCTTGGCGTTGGTGGAACCTCCCTGGGCGCCATCAGGAAGTGCCTGGTTAGATGTTTTGGGGGGCAAGCTGTGCTGCCAGTATTCCGGATTGTCAAAGGTCACCTTCAGCTTCTTCCCAGTGGCTTTACCTGATGTTAACCCTCCATGCTTCAGCAAACTGGCGGGGTGATTTGAGGCGTGGATCTGGTAGGCTGGCAGGCTGCCGTGCCCAATGGTGGCTGAAGTCGACAGGGTGCCTGACTGGCACACTTGGGTTTGGGCAGAAGTTCCTGTTTGGCTCAGGATGGCAGAGGCACCACCTGGATTACCAGGTTGTCCTGCAGGTCTAAGGGTATGGTGGGTGTGGAGGATGTGGGTTGGTGGGCCATGGTGGCAGGCAATGCCAGATGGAGAAGGCTGGGCAGAGGGGAGGGGGTAGTGTGGGAGGCTGGTCTGGATGGTAAGCGGGAGGTGGGAACCTGAAGTTGTGGCTGAGATGGAAGGATGTGTGGGTAGTGGCAGACCATTTCTCCTCAGGGCTTCCAGGCCCAGCTCAGCAGGGCTGTGAAAGGTGTTGAGGTACAGGGGCTCATTGATGTACTCATCCTCTCCTTTTGGCTGGCTGTTTGGTGTGCTGTGGTAGCCCGGGTTATCCAATGCATGGATCTCACCGTTCTTGCGCCTTGACACGAATGGGTTTTCCTCAATGGGATTCAGGTATTCTGTAGCGCAGGTCAGAAAAAGGCAAGGAGAGTAGGAATGAGGAGAAAGGGAGAAAGAGTTTGATTATAAGATTCCACAGAAATTAAATCAAGTAGAATGAGTAGAAAACAAAATTAATGGAAATTTAAAGCGCTTAAGAGAAAGATGACTCAATAATAGGGAGATAAGATGGAGATGAAGATGATAATGGCAATAATGGCAGCCACTCAGGACCAGACGGGCAACATGCCAGTGGTTCTTTGGCAATGGAAACTCCATCTGCTGGGGTTGAAAATGCCAGCAAATGACCCCTCTTCACTGCTTCCAAGCGCGATAATAGTGGGGTGCGAGACCTATTGATTTTGCCCACTCTCCTGCTCCTTGACATTGCATCAGATGCATTTTGCTGCAGGCTTTGTTATATTTTGAGCTGCTGGAAAATCAAAGACGGTAGTGCCAGAGCAGGGCTGATGGACTGAATTATGATCAAAGGCAAAACATGACTCTGTAGTAGCTGACATACACCGTTGACGGAATCTCGGCAGGAATTTTAAACAATGAAATGAAGTGAAATGAACAGGCAGAATATACTACAAAAGATCAGATTTACTGTGTGAATGAGAAGACCGATGACAGGACAGAGAAAAGGTGTGAGGGGCAATAATACTCGGGCAACAAAGGATATACTTTCAAATATGGTGTCTGTATTTCCCATGGAATCCCTTTTGACAGAATGATGAGGAATTCATATTATTAGGTACCTGAGGAACTCTTGTCCTTCATGGGTGTCATGTATCCATCCTCATCAGTGTCCCCTCTGGACACCCTGTCTCCAAGGAAGATGGTGGGGTCAGCACTGTACCTCTGGCCCCCACTGTCCTCTCCCCCAGCCTGGCTCATGCTCTTCTTATGTAAGCTCCCATTACAGCGCTGGTCCTCCAGGGCCGGAACGGGGCCACCCGTGGTTTCCTGATTTGAACAGGCTTGGGCACCTGCCGCAGAGCCCTCCGAAGTGTTTGGACCTCCATCTCGATAGCCAAACTGGTTCTACAACAAAGAATATATGTTATGACATCACTTATTAAACTGACAGTTTGATTTTCTTTAGTCTGAACCACTTTGGAAATTTTAAAGACTGTTTTGCAAGACACCTTTGGCTATTTCTGATAGAAGAGCTGGAACAACATAGTTTAACAAACCAAAGTAAAGATGTCTATAGTTCAAGAAGCACACAATGTGTGGATGCCAAAAATAATCAAGTTTGAGTCAGTTTAAGCTAGTTTTATGCCTCCTGCGGCAAAGGAAGTAAGACTTTTAACCCATGCAGCTGCCCGTTGAAGGTATAATCTCCAACAAAGTTCTGCTGGTGTAGTCATCAGCCTCAAGGGACTGTGAGGGGCAGCCAGGCATCGATGCGATTCAAACACCTGAACCTCAAAAAGAACAAAAAACCCCACAAGAAAATACAAAACATGACATGTGAAGCAGAGGGCTTCTTGTGGTGCTGTGTTAGGTTGCCTTGGGCTATTTAACCCAGGCCCACTCCTCTGCACTCTCGCCAACTTGGAGCGCTTCAGCAGCAATTACAGGAAGCAGAGCTACAAAACACAACTAGGAAAGAAAAAAAAAAAAAGGAAACATCCTGGGGTTATATTCGTCCACCTACTCGCGCTGTCCTCCCTCCATTGCAATCAACTTCCCCCTCCTCTAAACTCCTCTGTTTATCCCTTCTTCAAAGCCTGTCATTATCCGATCGCTGTTTCAAGTACGAGCTTCAGAGCAAATCCTGATTAGATAACCGTCTGGATTGGACTGTGTTAGCAGTGGCGCAACCTGAATAACTAACTTCCCGTGGCAAAGTCAGCCAGTTAATAGGTTTTAACACTGATTTCTTTTCCCTGTCTGGGCATGAAGGGACTTCTGACTGCATAATCAAAAGATTTCAATTCATGATAGGGGTGTTGACCTTGGACACCAAGGACCAGGATGGATTAGTGTGTGTGTTTATGGTACTTGTGTGCTCATTTGGGAACACAGAGCCTCTGGCAAATGAGTAGGTCATGGGGGTAAGGTGGCGTAAGATGCAGAGACGCAGGGTAGCGGCATGTGGTGCATGCTGCAAAGCAAACAACCGTGCCTGCACTCACTGTCTGTTAGGAAACGGCTCCCGCATTTTAAGAGAGCGCTTGTTATTTGCTTCTGGAGCTCTGAGTAATGAAACCTGGGGCCTGGGGAGCGAGTGCATAAAGAGCCCTGGTTTAAGCCACACACGCTGGGAAGGAAATGATGGAGGTGAGCCATTAGCGGAGGAAAATCATCGGTGTATTGGAAGTTCTTAACCACCTTGAGTACTTATAGAGGACAGTGAGTTTTACTGCTGAGAACAAAAGAGTATTTATATTTAAGGTTGAAGTCAAATAAACTTAAAAGGGTTTTTTTATATGGTGAGATGGGGCATGGCCGCATTGAAATATTCACTTATAGGCAAAGTTTTGAACTTCACCTCACTCTGAATATTGAAAAATCAAATGTGCCTTGACGTTGTTCTTACTCTGTTGGAGTCAACCCGAGGCCTGGTTGTGTATGACGGAGGAGCCATGTTGAAACCCCGTGGCACTAGGTACTCGTCGGCGTCCATCAAGTCATTCAGGTCCTCTTCGTCGAGCAGGCTCTGGAAGAACTTGCTGTCGTTGGGGCTCGGAAGCGTCATACGATCGTCCCCCTAAACCATAAAAACCAGAGTAGGTAAGTTATACTGGAAAAAAAACACTTCCTACGCCCTAAAACCATCTGACCAGTCAACGGAGAGGTGCAAAGAAAAGCCTCATTATCAAAAGTTCTGACAGTTTGACTTTTAGGTGGAACTCACCTGGATGACCAGGTATCGCTGGGGGTCACGGGCCATCCTGCAGAACTCAGCAGCCAGCTCCTTGAACTTCGGCCTGCTGTCTGCGTCAATCATCCAGCCTGGAAGGAGAGAGCCAGAGGAGGAAGAAGAGGAAAGATAAACACATTGATTGTTACCCGCCCAAGTAAGGAATAAAGTCAAAAATCTATTTGGATCTGAAAATAGACCTCCATTTGTGTGTTTAAAAGAGCTGAATCTTGTCGTTTCTTCTATTACATTCCCAGATTAGCCCGGGCATGTCACTGTATTCCCTTCTATTACATCAATTTCTTAGAAACATTTCATTTCGAACCACAAACCACAAGTATTGGACTAACAATTGAGGCATGCAGTAGTGAAAGCTATGAGTGATTCATGGAGACTGCAACCACAGATGATCATTTAAAGTAGCATCTCTGTGAAGGCTGTGCAGAATGTGCATCGGAAGGACATGCACCATATTTAACTCGATCCTTCATTCATCCACTGAACACCAAATGAACAAGCATATTGTTCACTTCAGTTACGTTCTTTACATTCTGACGGCTCAAACGCTTTTGCTCAAGGGCAACTCAGAGGTAGTTATTAAGGCAGAGAGTGGTGTTTTTTTTTTTTGTTCAGTTTAATCCGCAGCCTACTTTTTCTACCTTAGGCCAAGGCTGCAGTAAACACAGCAAACCCCTGCAGGTGGAACAAGAGGCCAGGTGGTGTCTCAGCTCTGATTAGGCAGTCGGCAAACTGGGCTGCATTTCAGGTTGTGTATCCCTATTATATATTCTACAACAGTGGTGCTAAAAAAGTGCAGTCTGGGTGCAGTCTTAGAGGGGATATATTACATCTTTCCACTCCATTTTAGCAGTGAATACAAGTGTATCCTCACTACAATGATGCGTGAATGTTTGTTCCAAACTTCTTCCACCACAGCCGTCATCGTTAGTGGCGATCCCAATCCCGCTTTCCTTACATCAACCCTGAACTCTTTTTGTCTTTTCACCTGCATGTCTTCCATCAGTTCATCCAATTTCCTGCCTCCAGTACTCCCACACAGGCGCATTACCTAAATGAGCGGCAATTACTCCGGCAATCAAGCTCCATTTGGTCTTTATTGGGGTGGGGCTGAGGCGACAGGGCACGCGGTGTGACGACGCTCCAAATAACAAACAACGCCTCTCAGTCAACAGGTAATTAGAATTAATGCCACCAATTGCTGAGCTCCCCCTCTGGCTTTCCATGGGGGCGGCATGACCACCTTGCCAGTTTGACTCAGCGCTTGACCTCTTTTAGGACATTTTTATCACCGCTAACTTGTCGTCATGTCGATGATTGTGTGCTTGTGGTGTATATGGGTCTTTGTAGCATTGCATCGTCGGCAAAATAAAGAGGATTTCAAACTTAAAAGTATAAGATTGCAACAATCCAATAGGAAAATGTCAAATATGACAAACACGGGATATATGCCCTGAAGATTACAAAATTAAATAAATCAGGAAACTGTGGAAACCCCCAAGCATCCTTTTCGCTAAAATGAAGGGGATTCCCTTTGACCCAAGCATTTATGAGATTAATCTGCATGCAGATTTTACACAGCTCACAAAATGTTCCCTCTTCCTCCAGGGGTGCAATAACAGAAATCAGCTGGCATCGTTATTAGACTAAACGGCTGCAGGGCTTTCTGTGCAGTCAAAAGCCATTGGCAATAGTGTTCCATTTGGAAATAAAACAATTAGATATTATGACATTTCCATTGGAATTAACATTTCTGTCACAGGAACATGTTTCTGGTATCAAGCTCCAAGCTGAATCTCATCATTTTCTTTCAACACATTTGGCATTTAGGCGGTCTGCCGCTGCCGCTGTTCTCGTTTGTACCAAATTATGAGTGCAGCAGCTGAATTTGTAGTTTAAATTTGAGGCTTAACAAGAAGATTATAATGAGTATTTTCAAAGGACAAATGCAATATTTGTGTGCCAGAACACTCGATTATTAGATAGAATAAAAAGGCTAAGGATACGATACAACATTTCCCTTCGACTCCACAGTAGTATTCATTAATAACAGTAAAACAACAATATCATCAAAAGTAAATGGGGAGAAGTTTATGAGATTTCTGGCCCCAGCTGACAACAGGAAGTGTCAGAAAAGTCACTCGAACATTGTTGGGTTAAGGCCTGGTACAGCGATGGCCAGACTGGTGAGGAAATGGGATCGCCAAGCTGCTGATAGCTGGCAGATTTTTAAGCCTGGACTGGCGTTTCTGTCTGGATCGTTTCCTGGAAGTATGGGAGAGTGAATCCCTCGACTGCCATGAACACCAGAAACAGGGATATGGATTTAGCCAAGCGCAAGATGGGAGAACCATGGGAGAATGTAAGGGGGAATTAGAAAAGGCAGTTTTTTTTTTCTGGATGAGGCAAGTGTGGTAGTCCAGATGGAAGATGACATGGACAAGAATATGGGCAGAATCGAGTTTGAGTCTGACTTTTTTTTTTTTAGAACATAAGCCAGCATCTCATCAGTTTCATAACACCTCTTGTTCCCTACCTTGTTTTTTTCATCTCTCATCTTTGCATATCAACTTCTCTTCGAGCCTTGAATCGAAGCCCCACAGCTTCAAATAACACCTTACCAGATGAATATTAAAAATATGAACCCTTTTATTAAAACGACACCTCATCTGTGACACAGCACGGCGAGTTGCAGCAGCGTGTAAACATGATTCAATGTGCTCCACGGCAACTCTCTTTGTTGAAGTGCTGATCTGTTACATTACCTTTGATGCTGCTGCTGACTCTGACTAAGGCACTGTTATTTTTAGAAAGATATGATATATAGGAAGTTCTTTTAAAGTCACTGATGATGTAAAAATTGGTGTGTAAACCCTGTGAAGACTTCAAAATTACAGGCTGTGATGTTCTCCCTTTGGTATCTCTGGAAGTGTTAATGCATTGCCTACATTTTTTGAGAATCAATAAGCAGCACTGTTTGAATTGATTCACACCCTTTTGAACATTTTTACAAATTTGTGACTGATGGCATTTATTTTCTTCCCAAAAGCTACATAAGTAAATAAATTGGAGGCACCAATATGCATTGAATAGTCAATTCTTGTATGCAAATGCCTGTTTGAGAATGGATTTTAAAATGATGTAACCGTGTGTTTTCTCACATTTGACCATGACCATGTAGACATCAATGGTGCAAATGGGCGGCTGGGGGAGACGCTCCCCTTTCTCCAGAATGTCAGGGATTTCCCTCGTAGGAATACCGTCGTAGGGTTTGCCTCCAAATGTCATCAGCTCCCAGATGGTCACTCCTAGAGGATGCAAACAAGTGCGGAAAGAAAAAAAAAAGGAGAGAGAAGAAGACAGACGGGGAGAGATGGGAAGGTGAGACAAAGTGCCGGAGAACAAGATATAGCAGACAGATAAGGGGGCGAAAATGCAAATGCAGGAAGCAGGATTTCAGGTCATTGATTTTTTTTTTTTCCCTCCCACAGGTATGAGCATAAGAAACACTGACGTTTGCACTAACAGATGAACAACAAAGCATGAAGATGAACACCCACCATAACTCCACACGTCACTCTGATGGGTGAACTTCCTGTAGTGGATGCATTCCAGAGCCATCCATTTAATCGGCATCTGTAGAGATTGGAAAGACACGTTTTATTATTTTAAAAAAGGAAACAAAAGTCTTTATTAACCATCTAAATTCATACAAATGTATCAACGCAGAGAGTTGAACTAATGTTCGTCATCTGACAACATTCAGCATTTCGCTAATTTAAGATTTAGTAGCATTGATGGTCGTGTGACTCTTAATCTGAAATCTAAATCTGGACATTGGGCTAAATGTCACGGTAAAACACAAGGTTTCTTGCAATTACGTTTTCTGATCAATCTGGAGGCATTTAGATGATCACAATTGTCAGATAACCCAAAATCTACGCGCTACAACCAGGAACACAGCAGTGGATAACTATAACTGTATATTAGCCTCCCTTCCTGAGTAGGGAGTTGTAGGAAAAATGGCCGCCGCTTGAATGTGCTTAATTATTAGTTTCACTTTTATTTATTGACACTTGAATTGAAGAGCATTTCCTGTCACGCTGTTCCTCGACAGCTGCCCCCATCTTTTAATCTTGCATTAGAGCGATATCGGGATATCGACAGCGCTTTCAAGCATAGTTTTGCTTTGCTCAATATTACTAAAGTAGTGTGATTGATTGGCTTCAGTCTAACCCAGAGGTCATCAATACTGAGGGGGCTTTTTAAGACACTAAATGAGAATGTATTGGCCGTTTAGCTCACATTATCACTCTAGCCTTTGGATGTGAAATAGTAATAACTGCAGGGCCTTTGACATTACTGACAAGGACAACGGCACACATGGCCATATCATAGCAGCCGTGTCATTTCCATATTGACTATACAGAGGCTGTAGAGCCCACTGAACAAGGCAATTATCTCGCCTTTTTGCATGTGAACGCACATATGCACACACATGTACACCCACCGGTCATTTAAGATTACAGCCCCTCCCCCGATGCGCGGGAGCACCGACGCGCACGCCAGCTCTTGGGGGAAATGAACAGGAAGCGGAGGAAATGAAACGCTTCAGGTTGGAAACGCGGGCACTTTCATCTGTGATGATTTGTCTCTCGTGGCGCCGTCTATTTTTATGGCACACATGTAGATGTGCTGACGACAGCTCATACTTTTTTCCACATCAACATGACAACCCCAGCTGGTCTGCTTTATGAAAACACTTGGAAAAATAAACTCCGACTCATCATGCAGTGGCTACCTGCAGCCCTCCAGCTGAATAGACGCAGCAATGAATCAGCCCATTTAATAAAGGGAGTTGATCAGGACAATTTGCATAGTGAGTCTCAAGCGAGGGAAAGAGAAGGGGCTTCTGATTAATGTAGTCCGAGTCCCCAAACAAAACAAACTGATTAGAACTGTGGCTGCACTATTTGTTCGGATGAAGTGTTGGAAATTTTGTTTTCGTGAAACTTCGAGAGAGAGAGAGAGAGATTCACAGCTTGGAAATTGCTTAACATGTTCCTGCAATACACGCAAAATACAATCTTGCATGTTTTTTCTGGTCTTTTCTGCATAATTTGATGCACCTCTTACAATTTAGTTACCACCAAATTTACAAATCTGGCATTAGAAAAGGGATAGATGCTTAATCTCTTCTTCTTTATGCGTTAGAAATATTTCTTTTTTTAACCAAGATGGGAGAGTAATTATGGAGTAAAAATCATTATAATTATCATCATAATTTCTTCCACAGGAGGACAACTTCAGATTACCTTTCTTCAAAATGACAACTCGTGTGCCGGTATTTGCTGAACTGACATTTCAAATGAGTGATCACAGTGAAAGTTGAGGTAGACACACGCTCTCGGAAGCTTTCCTCTTTAAACTGCATCTGCAACACAGTCACAAATGCGACGCCAAATCTGACTGGCCATCCTTGACAGTACGCAGGTATATACGCTGGCTGAGTCTTACTGATAAAGCTCTCCTTGGTTTAGTTCCTTCTTATTTATGTTCATACCGCCAAAGAATAAAAGTTTCTCTGTCTTCACCGCCCTGTTCAGCAGCACTGACCTTTCCTTTTATTACCTTTTGTTTTCTGTATTTACTCCTTATGTCGACCATTATTATGTAAGCTGTCGGGTGCGTTTAATCGCCAGGTAAGGGAAGTGTTCATACACAAAAACACGGCCTCCACTTACACCAACCTTGCCCCCGTCTGCGTTGTACTCCTTCTCGTCGGCGTCCAGCAGCCGCGCCAGGCCGAAGTCGGTGATCTTGATGTGATTGGGCGACTTCACCAGCACGTTGCGGGCCGCCAGGTCTCTGTGGACCAGCCTCCTCTCCTCCAGGTACATCATCCCCTGAAGAAGAGAGAGAGAGAGAGAGAGGGAGAGAGAGAGAGAGAGAGAGAGAGAGAGAGAGAGAGATGCTTATGAATCCTCTCATGGAAGCCGTTTATCACTTCACATTCCAGGACCGCAGCAGCCCCGAGATCGTCGATGCGGTAAATGTCAGCGCTAACATAAAATTATTGTCATAACTGTCATCATCATTAAATGCACACCCACGCAGACATTCTGATTCAATCTTTCACGCCTCACATATACCACTCTTGGAGACAGAGAATCATGAGGAAATTCAGAAATATGAGAAATGTCAGAACTTTGGCCTCTCAAAAAGTACAAACCATTTCCCAAAGCAGCTTTCCGGTTCAACCTGGGCCCTGCTTCTACATTATTTTGAGTCTTTAATGATGTCGACCAGCAGCCACAAACCAGGCTGTTACAGGTCCAGATTATTAATCTGTGTCTGGCAACTGATGTTCATTACCATTGCCCTTTTTTGATCAATTCAGCGTTAATTTTCCTAACGTATCTCGCATTACTCTTCAATAGCTTGTGTGATGGTTTGTGCTGAGCTGTAAAGCAAGTTGTCCCAAGGAGATCATGAAGAAATCCTTGATCCTTGAAAGGACATCTTTCAACACTATTTCACACAGGTACTGGCTGTGTTAGCAGTGCTTCTTCAAGTGTGCAACATCAATATCAACTTCTGCCAACGTGTCCAACTCGAGTGTTATCTTGTTCACTCATAACTGAGATTGCGACGGTGACACGGCGCCTCCTTGTCCTCGGTAATTGGGGGCCATTTTCAAGACGGCTAGGCAGCGAGAACAATGGATGTCCTTCCAATTTTGTTAGCGTTGATTATGAACAGCCGATGAGCAAAGCAAAGCGGCGGGGGGAAAAAAAACAACAGAGCCTTGAGCAAAGAGAGAGAGAGAGAGAGAGACGGAGAAAGGCAACTTTGCTTTGCAGGCTTAATTTGTCGCTCAATGGACTCTTTGACAGTCGCACAAAAAGCTGTACAACACCCCGTTTCTTCATGAGTACACACACACACACACACACACACACACACACACACAGGTTTCACCATGCCCCCTTGAGCACACACACACTCCTCTCTCTCTCTCTCTCTCTCTCTCTCTCGTCTTCCACGCTCATAGCTGAACAAAACAGCCAGACGAGCAGACAGGCAAGGCTGGGCCAATTCAAGTGTATTAGAGTGGATGTTAAACAAGTGGATGCCACTTTGCAGGTGGATCAATAAAAGCACCTTGGTGAGGAGGGAGGTAGTCATTGTACTCCGCAGACAATGAGAGATTTCGACCACCGAGGGCCCACGCCTCAGCTGCTGCTGCGAGAGACTCATCGTCTGTTTGAGACGCTTACACTGAAAACTCTGTATTTATAAATCTCTTTATTACACATATGTGTGCGCTTCTGTCTGCGTTGAAACGCTAGTCTCGAGGAGTCGCCCCGCTCCGCCTCCTCCCAGACGAATGTGGGGATAAATCGATAGCGCCGACGTCTGGCTGAGCCCTCATCCATCATCCCCTGGCCTCACAGAGACAGACACGGAGACACACACACGCTGACAGAGACCACCCAGAGACCACCCTGACGTATCTCACCGTGCATTCTTCGTGACTTTATCCAATATTTCTACCCACCCGCTTGTCTGTGCCACTTCGGGACACTTCCTACTTCCTTTTCTTGTGTCCTTTTTTTTTGGTGCTGGAACAAGACCAGAACTACCCCTTGTTTGTTGAAAGTGTATTTAAAATAGATTACTTCTGGGGGGGGGGGGGGGTTCAAGCAGCCGATCGATAACAATGCTGATTACAATAAGCCCTAAGACCGGCATGCGGCGCAATATTTATCCCCAACGTCGACGTCGGGAGGAATTAGGAATCAATGGCCCACACAGTCCATTAATACACTTCGACTTAAAGTGACAGCGCAATGAGGGGAGGCCATCGCACTGACAGAGGGGAATGTACGGCAGCTCAAGGAGCCAATTAATTTCCAGCCACACCGGGCGGTAAACACCAGAGTCCCATTGGAGATGAGAGGGCCGGCCTCTGTTTCAAACTCAGGAAGGGCCCCCACTGATTGTGCCGCTTTAAACACTGCTTAAGTGTGACAATCCCCCCCCGAGTCCTGAAGTCTGTAACCCTGGAAGCAGAGTTGGATAATTTGTGATTACAGAACGTGTAGATCATACAAGCGCTTACAAAAGAATGAGTTAAGTCTGCCATGTTTGCTTAACAACTCTTTCAGTTGTGTTGTAAGAGCAGGAGCTTTCACAATACACTTTGAAAACAACTTTGAAAAAAAAAGCTGCACTAGGCTAGAGCCGTCATTCTTTTTCGCAGCCAAAAGACAAGACTTCCATGAAGTTGTGTGTTTGCAGGCGATGTTCTGACCATGCGTATGTTGCGGTTAAACAATGTTAAAAATGCATGGGGAGCTGCAAAATGCCAATTCTCTGATTGGTCATATGATAAGAAAACCACAATTTGTAAGTCGTTAACGAATCATAGGAGATGTCATATTTATTTAAGGCTAACGTTCCTACTGCAAGTTGCAATAATTGAGTGAATCTTGGATCATAAAGCACCTGTCTCTCTGCCTGAAAGGCAAAACCATTTTTTGTACTTTTTCTCCACCATTATTTCTTCTGTGGAGAAAATCAAAGCCGTCAGCGCACCACTCAAAGAAGATGTTTTGGCCTGACCTTTTAGAGGATGGATGACGTACATGTTGATGTGCAGAAAAGAAAGAGGAAATGAAAGGGAAATGCGTCTCGTCTGACTCTCAGCTGAGTATTCCTAACAAGTACGATAGAACACTGAAAACTTCTTCTGAGTTGGCATTCAGCAAACTGTATTGATATAACTAAAGCTATTGGACTCAATTTTTAAAGAAAGTCGACTGATTTTCAGATACTTACAGTCCACACAAATGCTCCTAAAGTTCATTTCAGAGCTCTTAAGCACTTGCTGAATTTGCAGCGAGACAGTCCTAAGCCCTCGTGGACTTATCAGAGGTACATCTTGGAGACTGTGACACAGAGAGAGGCCGTGTGATGTGATTGTAACGCACGGCGTCATGGAAGGTGAGACGTGGGAAAAGAAAATATGGAGCTAGGGAGCATGCACCAATCTTAAGGACGTCTGGTTTCATTACAATGGGAACGTGTACCTATGAGAGTTCAGGTAAGTGAAGAAAACTTTTTCTTTTTGTATTAAAAATAAAGGTAAATTGTGTCAAAGCTTCAGAATGGCACACATCCATGTCTAATGTTGGTAACCTGTGTCATTCACTTTGGCAGGTTTAGCACAAATTGTAATTTCTATTGTTGGCAGAAGGTCAGCAGCACATGAGTGGTCATTATTATCAACAGCAGCAGCTTTAAAATGTCCAACCATTCCAGAAAAACACTTCAAGTTGAACCCTATATGAAAGGTCCAGACTATGGTGAAGTCTTTTCAGCGTTTCCATTTCCATGAAGTTGACGGACCCACCGGCACTGTTACGCCTCCCAAATGACAAATGGACTGCTACAATAGAAGTTTAAAAGATATAAAAACTTTTTAATTGTTTCCCACAAAAGCACTGTACTGTATGGAACTTTTAAATAGCCGTTTATGTTTAAACTTTGCACGATTCAGAGAGTGCGCTTCAGGACAAGTCAATACTAGTGTCACCTATTAGCCACTCTCTGTTGGCGAGTGAATGTGAAGACATTTTAAACTGAACAAAGTTGGATTAATATTTGATTTAACGATCAATAAAGCTAGAAGTTCAGCCAGTTTTTTGAGGGACTTTTATCAAGAACCCTACGATAGATGGTTTAACTAGAAAATAAACATTTGGTTTGACATTGGAATAAAGCTGAGACAGCTACTTCTTGGGTTTGGGAGTAAGTGGTCATGAATAAGTAAAAAGATGAAGACGGAGGTGTCCTGATTAGAGCCTGACCAGAAACGAGGCCAGGCCACTCTGTACATGTTGTATTTCATTGGAGACAAACAAGTGTCAGTGTTTCTGGAAGCTGGAAAGTCTCATGCTGACAGACATGCTGCATTCAAACGGCAAAAAATATCACTCAAATATCAATGTCAGGCTAAGTTCCATCTGTACATGCAACCCATTACTACAGTTTACTAAACACCTCTCTGCTTCTTTGCTGCCAAGTTGAAAAGGTTAATTAAGATGCAGAACACAGATTAATATGAAGGAGCTACGTCTGAGTGTTTAGTCAAATGACTTGTGAGTGGATGTGGTTTGTTTTGAATAATTATTCTTTAAAGCTTATCCTCCTGTGACCTGACACCAGGCAGGATATAAATCTCCCCTTTAAACACCACCAAAGTTCTTTTCTCTTCATCTCTGCAGAGTTCTGAATTGTTTACCGAGGCTGAAAAGTCTTCTAAAGCACGCAACAGGCCGGGTCACGGCTGGTCCGCGACCCATTAGCGCCTTCTCGCTGGAGCGGGGAAGAAAAGATCTGAGGTGTTGGGTAATGGAGGAAAACAAGAGGCTAAAACTGCAGTACAACACAGCGGGGGGGGGGAGAGATGCTGCGGAATAAAAGATGCTGGGTAGAAAGCCGAGCTGCTGGACGGTAAGTGGAGGAAGAGGAGTATGGACATGACAGAATACAGCAGGTTCTAAAATTCAACTCAGGCCTTCAGGAGATGAGGTGTTTGCTTGCGATATTACAAATAAGAGCTGTACACTGACACAAAATAGCTGCAGAATTGATTCAGTGCAACTTTTCTGTGTTTGTTGCTAGGAAACCTGCTCTTTGAGGACGCAGTGGGAACCGTCAGTGGTTAAACAGTCTTAATAATCCAACTCTTGGGTTCAAACACTCGCGCATCATCAATAAGCAGCAGTCTATTTGGTTAAAATGAAGCAGGAAAACAAGGCTCAGTTTCTTGCAGGAACCAAAAGGATGAGGTGCCTGTTTCCAGAGGGAGCGATAAGACCGCCGCGTGTATTGCCTA